AGTATTTTCAGAATTCTGGATTAAGAGATCGTCATATTGCGTCATCCACGTGACTTCATTATGACTGGTTAATTGCTCTGTCGATAACGTGCATATTGTCTTCTTGAAAAAAAAACCTTTTTTGACCTTTTTTGTATGAAACTTGACTGTAGGAATGGCATAATTAGCCAAAATACCACAGTGTATAATACCAGTAATGCGACCTTCTAAGAGAACCAAAGGATCTAAGCCAACTCAGAAAAAACACCTCCAGAACATGTGACCAAAACTCTTTTAGACCGTGGCTGCAATGTAATCTTCATTAAACTATTCAGAAGATTTGTATCACACTCATCCAAAACCTGAAATTCTAAATTGTGTGTAGATACTTTCGTCCAACCAGATAACTCATTTGAAATCTTCTATTATCTAATTTTCGTAAGTACGGGCACACAAATAATATTTTTTTTATTACTTTCAGAAATTAAAGGACTGAAACGAGAAATTTGGAAATGGAGATTTTCTTTGGCTAATTCATTTTGAGTGGTTTGTATAGAAATGGGTTTTTTTGTTTCATTTATAAAATTTAAATGTATTTGAGAAAAGGTTTGACAATAGGTTTTTTATTCCTAATCACCAAACTTTTGAGATGTTTGCATTCAGTTTTGTTAAGAATTTGTGGTTGACCTAAACGTTTCTTTGGAAGGCTTTTTAGCTTGTACAACTCCTAAACATGTTGAATAGAGGAACAAGAGCAATTTACGACTGCAGAATCTTAGTATTTATGTGTCCTAATTTTTTAGCTGCGATAATAGCTCCTTTTTGGCCTTCACTAAGTTCCCACAACACATCCTTGCGGTAAATTTTTTTTCACTAATAAAAAAAGTTTTTTTTCGTATGACCATATGACCAACTTTATGTTATACAATGACGATTTTTTTATTTTGATCATTTACATAACAACAATCACGTGTAACTTAAAATAAAAAAAACTGCGGCTTAATTTGGAAGGGGCGCGACAACACGCGCCTCACTTGTATCACGTTGGGTGGCCAATACTTTTTATACCCCCCTGTGCATCATTATCACAAACCTCTTAAATGATAAAAAAAAAAAGGGAAGAAATGTTCAATCATTATGTCTGTGACCCTTCAATTCGTTGAGTAACAGGAAAAGATATTCACAGCCGACGACTCGATATTCACCCTGTCCATTCATACTCTATCCCTATTCTTTCCAATATCGTGAATATTTGTATTCAAAGTTTATTTCCTCTAGCGACAACAGACTTTTTAATTGAACACGACGAGTCTTACGACCATAAACAACAAATGTGTATACCATTTTCGTCAAATCATAAAAAAGTTACAGCTGACCGTTATAAGTTACATAATTATTAAGATCAAATAAAATGAAACATATATTATATATATTTTTATACTTTCTTACGGATAATACAATATATTTATAGGAAAGTTATATTCGGTCAAGTTAAACCAAGACCCGGAATTTAATTATCAACTTAACAAACCATTTTTCGTAGAAAAATTTATTGAAAAAGAACCAATACTTAACAATATCGGAATTATTGTATACATGTCGAATGATATAAAAATCAATATTATTCAAGTTGTGATGTGTTGAAACTTTTGTCAACCCTAGAAACATAGGAAGCGACGAATAAATTTTACTCACCAGTAACGAGCTACTTGGATTTAGCATAAAAGTGCAAAAGAAGTCGTTGAAATTTTTATTTCGAACTAAATTACTGATATTAATCCATCATCCTTTTGATGTCATTTTTATATATATATTTTTTTTTATAAGATTATATTACAAAAATTCATTATTATTATCATTCTTTTTTTTTTTGTCATAAAAAAAAAAGGTTAGATAAAGACACGATTAAAGGAATGAATTAAAACAAAATCCAGGTCCAAAACATGCATACATACATACATAATACATACAATACACGTATATATATATATATATATAATAAAAATATAATTCAAAGAACAATATGTTACAATTGTACAAAAAAAAAATCGAAAAAGAATAATACCCATTATATAACATTACCCGTAGTCTCAGCTTCTAAACTTAGAACCATTAAATCAGCCTCCAATTCACCACCATCTAACATAGCAATCGAAGCAACGTTGCCACCAAAAATATTTCCAGCAGCAGCAAACATTCTTCTTTCTATAACTTCACCAATATGATCAAGAGGAGCAAGCCTACTTCCACCTCCATTATTATTATTATTATTATTACTATTCCCACCAACTCCATCATCAATACTTCCGCTACTATTTAAATTATTTATTAATAATGAATTATGTGTGTTAATTAAATCATTTTGAACAAATATTGAAGGTAATGATTTCGTTAATGAAGATAAAATTTTTGGGGGTCCGGATAATTGGTTTGTGAAAGGATATGATTCGGAGGTATACCGTTTTAGATTAAGAATATTCTTTGATAAAAACCTAAATTTTTCAAAATTAATTAATGGTCCTTGTGATATCATTGGAAGAGGTGAAGGTAATGGTGATATTGGTATTGAGTTCGGCACTGTTGATGAAATTTTCATTTGTGTTGACGAAAATAATAATGGTGAAATTTGTTGTTGTGAGCTAAAGGAATTTTGAGAGAATGACGGGGAGGTAGGTGTAATAGGTGAAGTTTCTCCTGATTCGGGATATGTTGAAGATGCTGAAGGGATGCGTAGTAATAATTTATTTCTTAAATGATTAGGAGAAAGGTATGTTGAACTTCCTTCAATTATAAATGTTAAATCTTTAAGAAAGATTGCTATATTTCGAGTATAAAAGTGATGATATTTGGTTAATATATCGTGCACATAGATTTGATTAAAGACATTTCATACTTACCGAAGAACGGTATGACGGGGGTCTTAGCATTTGCCAATGATTTTCTATATTTTGCCATATTTCTTGAAGGATCAATTAATTCTTCAATACTTTGAAAAGTTATTATATCTTGATGTGAAAGAGATTCCCATGTCTTTATCAACCGTTGAACCGGACGGGAATTCAATGCCAATGCAATACATGATGCGATATGGAAGTTATTGTACTCCCGACAGTACTAACAATCACAATAACCAAAAAAAAATAAGAATTATGACGCGTGATTACATTAACGCTCATCAAGACAAAAAAATGTATACGTACTCGTGCTGTTTCAATGAATTTGTGAAGTATACTTCGTCGTGCTTTAACCGTCTTTAAGCTGCAAATTTCATGCGCGATCCAATGACTTATCTGTAATTACGGATATAAATAAGATAAACATTTAAACTTGATTTACAATTTAAAGAAATGATTTAAATCATTAATTTACCATATTGCTCCTCCTTGTAAAAACGTCCAAATGACTATCAATATGGCTAGAATGTTGTCCTTCTCCTTCGAGAACGGCATCAAGGTTTACGCCAGTTTCAAGTGCTTTCCTTTTTCTCCACCAGATCGTAACATCAAAGAATGTTATAGATTTTAATATAGCAAAATCCATTAATGTTAAATATTTTGCTATATTCTTTGATTCAAATTCCAATAATGGAGAAGAATCCGATAAGATTGGCCGTGGTACATTATCAGAATCGGTGATTTTGATATTATCATTCGACTCTTCAGCGGATTCAATTATCGGATTTTTATTTTGATTCATCATTCTGTCCATCGAAATTAGAGACTGCAATAATACAAATGATGTCAGGGGCCATTCAAAATAAAAAGGTTGATTAGTAAAAACTAACCTGTAGCTCTAATATGGTTTTTATCTTGCTGGCTTCCAACTTAAACTCCTCTTCCTTTACTTCATCCGTTAAAAACGCACGCATACTATCACGTAAATTTGTGTCAAACCGAACATCTTGTGGTTGGATTGTTACCCATCGATCAAGTATAGATATTATACTAAAGAAGAATTTTTACCGGAATCAGTATAATCACGTGATTACTTTATATAAGGAAAACAAATTCACATACGTTTTATGGTGATGGTAACCTTCGTCTACGTTACGATATCTTTGAATCATGAAATTTAATAATGATTCAGATGACATAAAAAAGGTATGATTGTGCAAGAAACAATCGACAAATTCCGCATCTATAAGATAAATGGTTCATATTAACTAACCAATATGTGGGCTTTTTTTTTTTTTTCCAAATTAGGTACCTTGTTCGTCAACTAATCTTGACAATAATTTATCCAATTTTCCAGCAAGAATTTGCGGACTAAAAATCATGAGCTGGATTAGTATCATTCGATGAGACGATTTTTATTTATTTATTTATTTTTTTTAAAAAAAAAGAGCAATTTACCTTCCGTCAACCGTTTCAATAACGAGATCATCATTGTAAAGGTCATCAATTCCCTTCAATTTACCGTCTTCCATATTTTGAAAAACTTCCGACTTACCAATTACTTCCTATAAACATTAGATTATTAATTTCTTTGCGGTAATTGAAACTTAAAATACAGAAAATTTTTGTTACCTCATTAAGACGAGTAAATACTTGAGGAATCTTAATCAAATTACTAAGACTCGGCTTCTTTTTGGCGTGTAAACTATTCGAACTGTGAACGAGGAGGGAAGCTCGACGATTAAGAAACTATTAGAATTCACCGCAAAACTTAAATTTCAAATAATTACCTTTTTTTCGTAACGATCCTTCGGAAAAGTTGTTCACGAAGTTTTTGGCTATTTTCGTTTCCCTCCGAATTAGTTGCAGAAAATAACCGTTCTTTATCATTTATAGAATTTTCTCCATCATCTTCAATATGTGGAGTCAAATAATGTGATGTAGAATTACCGCTTTCATTATTGGTTTTGTCTGCGTCCGTCCACACTTTCTTTAAGTTCCTTAGATCGGTAAAACTATTATTTTTGTGTAATTTATGTTTTTTATCACTAAATGAAGGTGATCTACTAGAAATTTTCGATGAATGGGGAAAATATTCATAAGAATTTAATGTTGCATCTTCTGTAACGGGCCAATAATTATTAGTTTCCGATACATTTGAAGATTTTCCTTTTGAAGATAATGATAATGGATTAACGTGTTTAAGAATATATGATTTTATGCTAGAACTTGAACTTCGACGTGAACGTGACGATGAAATAACATCAATGTCATCTTTATTACTAATTGCATCGGATTCTACCAAGGATGCGGATGACTTTGTATTAGGAATATTGTAGATCGACTTTCGTAAAGGAGGTGTGCCCGAAACATCCGAAAATCGCCTTCGACCTAACAATACGAAGTTTTAATCAACCTAATTTGATCATGATTTAAATTTTTTTTGTTTTTGTTTTTGTGTTATTTACCTTTACTCAATAGTATACCAGGAAATATTTTTGAAGAGGTACCCTTTAACTGTTCTTTAAATCGAGAATTGCTTTTAATTGAATAACCTGGTGAACTTGGTACACTTTGCGAAGGACTATCACCACCATGTTCGTTATAGTTATAGTCCGCCTGATATGGTTCTTTTTTGTTATGTTTACGTGGAAAAGATGGAAGGTGAAGTTTGCGTGGGTTTTGATGATTTGAGGTCACAGAAATTGAGGCGGAAGATTTTTTGGAAACTATGGAGCTTGACCCAATACTTTTGTTTCGCTGCTAGTCACGTGACGCGCGAAAGAAATACACATGAGGAAGATGGTGCATTGAATTCTGACATAAAAAAATTAACACGATTACATACGTTTCGAGTTCTTTGTGAGATAGCCTCGGAGCTCGTTCGTCTTGAAACTGTAATACCACGATCTTTATCTCTAATGGAATGATTGTTATAGCCACTAACATTCTCCGACGCGGATGGTACAAAAATTTTTAACGATGTCGATCTTCTTTTAATGGACGTGAGACTGCTCAAGACTTTCTTTCCAACTAAAATTTATTTTTTTTTTTTTTTTTTTTAAAAAACTTTTGTTAGTATCAATCCATAATTTTCGAATTGTAAATAAAGAAAACAACAACAATAAACTCACATGTGCTTTTTTTCCTTTTAGATAAAAATTAGTAACAATAACAATAACAATAATAATAAGTATTATCGTTACAAAGAATTTAAATAAACAATATAAATTTACATGAGGAAAGTTGTCGATATTTACTTTTTGTTAGACATTCTTTCATTTGTTGATTCCAATCTCGATGCTACACAAATTACGTTTTTTTTTTTTTTGTTTGTTTTTGTTTGTTTTTTTAAGTAAATGATTTTTTTAAAAATTGAAACAATTTTTTCTTTTTTCAGTTAATGCTTACGTTCTTCATAGACGACAGGAAGGTGTTTGTGAGTAAAGTTCACAAACAAATTTAACGCATCGACAAGTCGATCCGAATGTGATATCAACTTATCATAAATATTCTTTTCCAAGAAAAAAAAAAAATTATTGAGGGACGAAAATCGAAACGGATCACGTGACATTGCTTGACGTACCTGAGCGTGGGACTCACATCCTTGAGACTTTATTCTATGAATTTGAGACAAAATGGTTTCAACCTCTTCAGAAACGCGACTAGTTAAAGAATTATAATAATCCAACATTTCTCTATTTATGAGACAAGATATTAAAGCTTCATTATGCATCGATAATATCGAACGCATGATGTAAGTGAATAAAGAAGAAGCACTTAAAACTTTACATAAAGAAGAGTTTTTAGTAGAGGAAATTGACGTGGTGTCACTTTTTAAAGAAAATTCAGTGTGTAAAGTTTCAGAAGAAATATAAGAAGATCTTGAAGAATTATTTCTATTATTCTTATAAAAGTTTGCTCTTTTATTTTCAAGAGGGTCAAGAAATGAAATCTGATGTAAGGGGGTGGATGTTGATGATGAAGGAGTAAATTTTTCGGAAGTTGGAACCTCAACATAATCAATTATGTGATCATCGTCTTTAAATGGAGTTTTAAGAGCGTTGGAAAGCAACAATGTCGGAGTCAA